TATATATTTTACATACACATTTATTCACATTAATAATTTAATAAATCACAAAAAATCAATCTAAACAATTAGACAAATCACAATTAGCCTTTAATCACATTTGACAAATAAATAATTGTATTGGCATTCAGTAAAGTAAAATATAAATATAATTACCAATTAACAATAATAATAGCAAATAAAAATTAATAAAAATAATAAAAATAAATCCCAAATAATCCACAAATAAACGGGGCATTACAGTGTGTGTGTGTGAGTAATATGTGTGCAGAATGTGTGCATGTGTTTGTATGTGTTTCTGTGTGCTAATGTGTGTGTGTGCTTGTGTTGTGTGTGTGTTAGGCGTGTGGGTGGTGATATGGCATGGTGATGTGGGTAGTGATGTGTAATGATAATGTCCAATTAACCCGTATTATTTTTATTTTTTTTAGCTAACGATTTATTTTTATTTCTTTCACTGACAATGTACTAAGCCCCATTGTCGGTGTTGGAAATTTTCCACCGTATTTTCCTGCATATTTTTTGCACGTTTACGAGGACGTACACAATCAGCTCACAGCTGATCTCTGATTTATTACGCGCGATTTCAAGATATTTGCTCATTACCGGCATTTTCACCTACCAAACCTCGAAGTCCAGGACTGAATATAGAAATTATTATTTGAATAGCAAGCAGTAGGAGGTTATACACTAATACATATCCACCATCATCGACCACAAAAATATAAGCCTTAGTAATAACAAGTAAAATATATAGCTCCAAGNAGAAATAAAAAGAAAGAAGTGATGTTACATTTCAGTCTCAGCTGACGATCTCCGATGAGGTGGCGTGTTGGGAGGTCTAGCGCTCGAGTTTCTGGGAGCCTGCTGGAGTTCCTCAAGCGTGGCCAAGACCTCGGCCATTCGTGGCCTCATCTTTGACTCATGACTGAGGCACTGTAGGGCCACTGTGGCAGCTGTGAAGGCAGCCTTCTGAGGATATTGGCCCTCGAGCTTTATGTCCATTATTCGAAACAGCTTCCGCTTGTCCCCCATGTATGGTTTGGCCCAGTCCACCAGATTCTGCTCAATCCCTACCTTTGTCTTGTCAACTGCACGCCGACCGGAGAGCAGCTCCAGCAGGACAACACCAAAGCTGTACACGTCGCTTTTGCTACTCAGCCGCCCTGTACACATGTCACTCTTAGGTTCGTTTGCCAATTGTGAACGAAATATAAAATCAAAGTTTTTATCAAGTTGTCTAATGTGAAACTATTTTCTGGGTTCAATTTAAAATTTTTAGTTAGTTTACTTTCTTTATTCGTGTTTGCTGTTTTCTTGTATACTTTGGAATTATTTTTTATTCAAGAATTAATTCAAAAAGGGATTGATTTGAGGCCAAATGTCAGTTTTACAGATGCAAATCACCAAAAATAAATAACTTGTGGATAAAATGTGAAAGGTCGTCGATTGAGAGCAAATATATTTGTGATAAAAATGTGTGACCTGTGGCGACATATTCAGGAGCAGCATATCCATGAGTGCCCATAACTTGGGTCGACACATGTGTCCTGTCGCCGGTGGGGCCCGCTTTGGCCAAACCAAAGTCGGACAATTTTGCATTGAATTCCTATAAACCGAATCAAAACTTGTTAGTGCCAAAATGGGAACAGCCAAGTTTGAATTTCATTTTTCTTTAAACGAAAAACTGTGTTGGTTTAAAAGTAAGTCGAAAGTGATCAGCCATACATACCCCATCAAGAAGAATATTAGAAGCTTTAAAGTCTCTGTATATGACTTGTTCTTCAGCTTCGTGCAAGAAAGAAAGGCCCCTGGCAGCACCTATGGCCACCTTTATACGAGTTGCCCAGGTCAGGGGTTGTGGCCCTCCTGGAAAACAAAATGCATGTGTAAATGTCAATGCAGTTATTTCGTTTTTCTCTCTTATTGAAAATTCCAAAGTTCCAAAAAACGGATTCTTGAATGTCGGATAACGACTATCATGCAGTAAAACAAAAATTTCAAATCATTGGTGATATCTTATCAGGAAATGCATTCGCAGGACATAAAGACAGTAGAAGAAAAAAGATTTCAAGCACAATTAAGAAAGCTTTTCTATGTATCTACCTATCAGACGTGTGTGTTGGTGTGTGTGCGTGTGTTTGTGTACGTACAAGTGAAGGAACCAATATGGACTAACAATGATAACTTTTACGAAATCAATTGTTATTTTGAATGACCTTCAGCCTCGTCAAGTAACCATTATGGACAATCAAAGATACTTTCAGGCAAGAGATTATAATAAAAATACTTACTTCTGAACAAATGATTCTCCAGGCTTCCTTTCGGCATGAACTCATAAACCAATAGTCGATATTCACCCTCCAAACAGTAGCCAATGAGTTTTACAAGGTTCGGGTGATGAAGTTGCCCCAAATAATTAACTTCTGTCTGCATATCATCTCCATTCTCTCAAAATGCCAATAATAATAATATACTTCAATTAAGATAAACAAAACTTCAAAACAACCACCTAATATTAATCCCCGTTTATTAAGGAAAAGAAAAACTCCAGTCCAGTTATCCTTCATATACACAAATAACCTTCTTACAGCATTGCAATACACCCTACTAACTTTAGAAAACGATAAGCTAACCTTCCCTGTTTGTTAAATAACCAAAAGAAGAAGAAGAAGAAGAAGAAGAAGAAAAACATACCAACCACTCTTTGTGGCCTTGAAATCCCTCGGGCTTCAACTTCTTTACCGCAATGACCAAACCTGATCCGGGCCTTGAGGCAGTAAGGGTATTCTCGTCAATCCACCCTTTGAAGACATACCCAAATCCTCCTTCCCCAAGAAGACTATCGGGCCTAAAGTTTCTCGTTGCATTTCGTAGTTCGTTAAATGTGAAGGCTTTCACATGTGGCGATGACAGAATCTCGGCTTCTGATCTTGGAGTCGAAAGGCCTTCCGCCATGCTTTTGCCACTGTGTGAGGGAATGCTTATGTTGGAAGGTATAGATGAGTTGCTGTTTCTGTTCGGGTAACGTGATGCTTCTACAAGTGAAGTAAGGAACATTTTTCATAAATTAATTTAAATGTGGATAAAATAAACAGACATTCGAATACTCATAGAGAACCGTGGTCGTAAAGGTAGTACTGATTAAGTGACAATCGATTTTTTTCTGTTAAGAAACTCTGGGAAGTTAAATTGGATTATTGAGAAACTAAACTAGACCTAAGATTAATAAAGAATGATATTCCAGGTGAAAGGAGGTTAACTCCAGGCTTTTACATAGTTCTCTTCATGACCAACATTTTCTATCTAAGATTTATGCGTCATGAATGAAACCTAAAACTAGATTCAATGCATAGGAAAGCAGTGAAACTAACTAGCATTGCGGATACCCGTAAACTGAAAAATTATTTCTTTTTCATTCCTTCATAAGCAGCAATTACTTAAATATGTAATTAAACAAGATATTTTGGAATAAAACCAGTTATAGAAACATTCCAAGTAATCAGACCCCTAACTAGTAAGAAATGAACAAATGAAGCAGCAAAGACGTATCATTATTTTAGGCATAACTCAACACAAGAGATACAAATCAGAGTCCAAATACACAAAGAACAAAAATATTATAGTCCCCAAAAAAGAAAAGGAGAGAAAAGAAACGATAATTATCCGTTTAAGCTAAACCCTTCGAAAATCCAGCTCAGACAAGTTTCACGCCCATCAAATACAGGGAAATAATAAGCAAAAACGACGCTTTAACTTCATTTTTGTTCATCCCAAACCAAAGATTCATGAAAACAAACAACAAGAAAAGAAAATTCTCAAAAAAACAAAAGTGGGATAACAAGGATAATAAAATACCGGATGCGGAGCTGAGAGTGGCATCCACTCTTGCTGATGAGCCTACGCAATTTCCCATGATTATCAGCTCCAAAAGCAGAAAGGGTCCTCAAAAACACTCCTCCACAGCCCCCATATATAAACAAAAATATAAAATTAAAAAATGAAATCAAGAAAAGTGAAGGAAAGAAAGCGCGCAGGCCTTTCTGTTAGGCGTTCAGATTGATTGAAGCAAGGAGAGTTGTGAACACGAGACAATAAAGATGAAATAAAAAAAGGAAGGAATAATTTAGGAAAGGGAAATAAAAGTTGAAGTGTGTTTGCTGATTATAGTAATAAAAGAAGCAAAATGGAAAATGGGGTTCTATTCTATCTTTATTTTCCTTGTGTGAGAGACTTCGGTGGCCAACGATAATGGTGTCCCACTCCCACCTAACCAAACGGACATATCAATCAATGTTTTCATTAGTGTGTGTGTTTGACTCGGCCCTGACTTTTAATTTACTATTTTGACCCTGGCTCACACACATTGTAACACTACATTTTTTTGTCAGCTTTGAGCTGATAGTCATTTTTTGTCATCTTTGAGTCTAGTGTTTGTTAGGTTTAGTATAGGTTCTAGACGACCTCCAATCTATTCTCCCATGAATTGGCTTTATAACTGCTTCACAAAGTTGTTTGGCTGTCTCCAAATGTATATGTTTGTTTTATTTATAAAAGTTTCTGTAATTTGAAAAAAAAGTCAAACAAAATATTATTTTGATAGGTGCAAAAGGAAATGCTTTTTAAACCATTCCAACCAACTCTACTTTTACTCAGAAATTCTATGGCGCCCATATGGGCACCATATGGTACCATAATCTTCACGATCTAACGCCTAATATTCATTGTGGAATTGATAGAATGGATATTAGGCATTGGATCATGAGATATGGGCACCATATGGTGCCCATATGGGCGCCATAGAATTTCTGACTTTTACTGTATTTTAATAAAAACTGTTAGTCAATTGTGATGTGATAGATAAACAGTAAAAATAATGATGATATCTATACTTATATTAAAAGGAGTCCTATTTACCAAATTAAGTAGCCAGAAAAGTCAACAGCATTTATTGCATGACTATTTCCGTATTATACAATCTATACTTATATAAAAGGAGATTTCATTTACTACATTTGCTATCCAGAAAAGTCAACTACATTAAATGCCATTACTATTTTGGTATTATAATATTTTATTTATTTAATTGATTTATTTATTTGTTTTATTTTAAAAATGTAAGTATAATAAAAAGATTTTAATAATAAAAAAATCAAATACCAAATAAAAATTTACACTTTGACTTATTTGATTATATTTGGTATTTGATTATACAAATATATTCCTATTTAGTATGTACATTAAATACTTACTAAAGTATTTATTTGTTTTATTTGTCAAAGTTAAGTATAGATTTGTTTATATTATCAAATCATAAAAAAATATTAAATCCATATTGTAAAAAAAAAATTCATATAATTTTATAACAATTCTACTACATTATTTAACAATATTCTTTTTTTATTATATAATAAAATAATAATAAAATATTATATGGTGAACATCAATAAGTAAAACTGTTACTTTCTCTTATATCAAGAGATAAATTTATATGCTAAAATTAAGTTTTTATTAGTATAAATATTTTAGTGAGATAATATATTAATTATTTACAAGCTAGCCCTAACATGCTCATATTTAATGTTTTAAAAGATGTAAAAAAAACTTATAATAACTCTATTGTTTTTTAGACTTAAACGTTGATTAAAAGAGGTAAAAATTCTTAATTTTTTAGACTTAAACGTTGATTAACACCATAGATTGAGAGTTTATATTTAGTAAAATTCCTAATTGTAATAAAAAAATTAATTTTTGCTTTAATTTAGAATATCTTTACATTCATTATAAAAAAAAAAAAAAAAACGACAATGAAAAAAGCAAGTCAGCTATATATCGATTTGTTGTATTCCTCAAATCACATTCACAATTTGGCTACAAGGAAAGGAAACTCATTGATTAAAATATTATTTTGTCAGTAGTCTTAATGTACAAGAGACTTTAAGACTCCACTTGAATATTATAAAACTTTTATTGAATATTGTACAATTTTCTTGCGTATTATAAACTTTTATTGAATATTGCATCTTATAATATAACATTCTCCAAATAAATATATCTCGTGCTTCGCACGAGTCACGTACTATATATGTCCCGTACATTTTTCTTTATTCATGTATATAATTATAAGTCTGGATAAATAGCCTTAAAATTGTGCACCCCGTGTATCGCACGGGCCCGGTACTAGTGGTAATAAGTAGCGGTTCATGGAGGACCGGTTGTGATCCGAGTTTGGTCATATTTACACTGAATAAGAGCTAGGCAAGGGGCTAGCTTGGCATGAGCACTTCGGTGGCATACCAAAGGTGGGTCAGCTAGGAAGAGTTCAAACAGCTAGGCGTGGTTCAACCAGCTAGGCGTAGCCCAATCAGCTAGGCATGGTTCAACCAGTTAGGTGTGGTTCGACTAGCTAGGCGGGGACTAGCTAGGCGGATTACTAAAGGTTGGTAGCTAGGCGGATGAGAGCTAGGCGATGACTAGTTAAGCGGTGACTAGCTAGGCGGAATACCAAAGGTTGGTAAGCTAGAAGGATGGGAGCTAGGCGGAGTACCAAAGGTTGGTAAGCTAGACGGATGGGAGCTAGGCGAGGACTAGCTAGGCGGTGACTAGCTAGGCGGAGCACTAAAGGTAGGTAAGCTCGGCGGATGTGATCACCTAAGCGGCTCGGCGCTTAGGCACCTAGGTAGCTCGGCGCATAGGCACCTCGGCACCTAGGCAGCTCGACTAGAGGGTTTTGCCGAGGGGACCAGAGCCTGGAGATGGCTTTTTGACCAAGTCACAAGGAAGTTTGTAGTGATGAGGACTCTAAGATCTGAAATATTTGACCTGATTTAGAGGAAGATATGAGGAAGACTTATGATCCAACAAGAACTCTTCGGCCTATACATGACCTCATCTATAAAAGGGCACATGTTCATTCATTTTACAAAAAAAATACACATACACACATTACCTTATTACTCTGCCGTTTTCTCTCCAAAACACCACCACTGACTTGAGCGTCGGAGTGTCCACGCCGGGACCATCCCCGGCGTGTTTTGTAGGTACCGACGATCAATGAAGTTTCACGTACTTGTGGTATAACAAATTGGTGCCGTCTGTGGGGAAACTCAGTCTTCTACCAGAGTATCAGAGGCTGTTTTTTCTCACCAAAGAAGAAGAAGAGCGACATGGATCATTGCAAGAGATAACTCGAGAAAGAATTTAACGAAAGATATGGATGAGGCGTGGACTCAGAGGGCTTTTGGAACAGGGCCGCCGCCCGGGTGGTCACCGTTGCCTACAAGCCCCAAGGAGACGTTGCTGGCCTCAGGTGTGACCCCGACACCGCCACCAAGAGCTTAAGGGAATTTGGCGAACCCAGGAGAATCGGGCGGCCCGACAATCGAAGAGAAGGAGCTCGACGGTGCAACGAGTGGAAGAACTGGTCAGGTCGGCCAGGTCTTTGATGGGAACATGGGTCAGGTGGCCCCGCTGAACAATCAACAAATGGTCTTAGTAGGAGAGACCAACTAGCCAAACAATCAACAGATGGTCTTAGCAGGAGGAACCACCCCCTAGGCAACTCCTCGACGGCAAGAGGAGATCAAACGATACATATGACAAGGGCGGAACTGGAAAGGATGATAGAGGACGCAATAGGGCGGGCTCAAGAGGTTGATCGGCGAGGTAATGCATCGCTAAGGTCGCCCGTGCATCAGCAGTTGTCCTTGCACCCTCATCAGACGCACCAACGCGAAAGGGGGGATGAGGATGGCGATAGGTCGACGATATCTCGACCCTTGGTAGCACAACAGGAGGGGTTGACTCTGGAGAGACTAGCGGAACAAATGCGCGAGATTCAAGCTCGACTCTAAGGGAAAAAGGTTGCCAGGTCGCATGGTCATTTTTTTCGGAAGAGGTGCGAGGTGGAGACTTGCAGAATAACTTTAGAGAGCTGAGCCTGTCATATAATGGGTCGGTAGATCCTGCTAGACACTTGAGGTCATTTGATAACATAACATTTCTACATCGATATAGCGATCCGGTTAGTTTTCGGGCTTTCTTAACTACTTTGAAGAGCTCGGCACAAGATTGGTTCCACCAGTTGCCACCCGGTTCTGTTGACAGTTTTGAGAGGTTCAGTTCCATGTTCTTAAACCAGTTCGCGAGTGCTAGGAAACATGAGAAGACGTATCTCTCACAAATCAACATGCAGCAGAAGGAGGGGGAGAGTCTGCGACATTACGTTTTAAGGTACACTAAGAAGTGTGTGGAGGTACCTTCTGCTTTGGAGGAGATTAAAGCTAGGGGTCTCACGCGGGGGTTGAGACCCGACAAATGCAGGGATTCACTGGCAAAGAGGCCTACGAGGTCCTTTTACGAGCTCCTCGAGAGGTGTAGCAAGTATGTAAATATGGAGGAGGCTGAAGCGGATTTCATTCAGAATGACAGAACAAAGGCTAAGCCGGTGGATGAGAAGACAGAGTGATCGACGAGCTGCCCTTAAGGAGTCTACGGGTGAGGATCGGTTTAGGGGTCCGAGGTATGAGCATTACAAATTGCATAATGCGCCACAGCAGGAGATCCTGGAGATGATGGAAAAGCGGGGGGAGGACAAATTGCTTGCACAACCCAAGCCTCTGCCCCCACTGCGTAATCTTCAGCAGGAATGATAGATACTGTCGGTACCACCACGATTATGGTCACTCTAAAAATTTCTGCCGAGAGTTGAAAGATGAAATTGAGCGGCTCATTAGGGCTGGTCACTTAAAAGAATTCATGATCAAGGATAAAGAGCGCCAGGAAGATCGTCGCGAAGGGCGCGAATAAGGTGACAAGCGAAGGAGGACTGATGAGCAACCTGACAGGCCAGTCAAGAAAGGCATAATACACATGATTGCAGGGGGTTCCTACAGATAGAGATTCACATAGGGAAAGGAAGATGACTTATCGAGGAAAAAGAGTGGTTGACTTTAAGGTTGAGGTGCAGCTACAGGCAAGATCGACCACTTTAAGGCTTGGAGCTGAAGATGTGCAGGGTCTTGTTGTCCCACATAATGATGCCTTGGTCATCACCGCAGAAGTGGCTAGCTATGATGTGCAAAGGGGACTTATAGATAGAAGGAGCTCGGCGGATATCATTTTCTTGAAGTGTTTACAGCAGATGGAGTTATACGTGAAGATCGAGCTAGTCCAACTGCTCTTTATAGCTTTAGCGGCAGCCAAGTTTGCCCCATTGGCGAATTCAGTTTGACTGTGGC